AAAACTAGAAGCCTCTTCAATCTGCAAAAACTTTGCATGTATAACACAAATTGTTAAATCTTTTAAACACAAATCAACATATAACACCCATGAAAATAATAGTATATCACCAAAGATTGGTAAATTGTGTCAAAAAGACTCCCAAAAGTGAAAAGACTAGGCTTCCATTAGAGAGACACAGGAAATGTTTTACTGAGAAAGCAGGATTTGAGTGGACTCAGAAGGACAAGGAGAAATTTGACTCACTGAAGTTGTCCATCCATAGAGCATTCCAGGCAGAATGTAAGTAATGGCCATGAAGCTGGAAAGCTCAATGTAAAGGACAGGAGGCCAGTTAGGGGCACTGGGTTAACTGTGGAAAGACCGCACTATAATTTAGGATCAAATCATGATGGCCTTCATGATCTTCAGAATGTGGACATCAGTTTCATGAACAATCTTAAGGGACAGAGATATTTGGTCAAAATACCCAGTTTTGATATTTTGGTTTAAAGAGCAAAAGCTCTCTTTTGCCTAAACTTAAATATCTTCCAACATTTAAGAAGGATCCATTAACATTATTCTAATTCAACTAATAAAAAAGACAATCTCCATTAAGTTACAGAGAGACAAAACACCATCCAGAAAGAAAATTAAGCTATTTATTAGTCTATTATTATTCATCTACTATACTCCAATCATAATTACTAAAATAAACAAGCCTTAGAAATAAATGGGTATTTTTAAATTTTAGAACCACAGTAATCCATTTCTCAACCATATTATTTATAAAGTGATTTCTACTTATTTCTTAACACATTGCTAAGAAGAGAAGTTGCATCACTGAGCCAGCCCAAGGACTTCCTCAGTTATGGGAAGAAACTCCACTTGCTCACAAAAACTAGGAGCCGGCAAACTCTAGGCAATCTTCCCACACTTATCAGCGTAAGGTTAAAGCTGGGGAAACAGTAACAAATTTTAAACTCTCTTTCAAACATTTCCAAGATTAAAAAAAAAAAAAATTTAAATGCCGTTTTTAAAACATAGCTTGCTTTCTACTAACAGAAACCAAAGATTCATCCGGAGAGTTTACACCTACTCATTGTTCAGAAAAGGGAAAGAAAATAAAGCAAAGGATTATTTTAGCCCAAGAAGAAACATTGTCTCATCTTTTAAAAATTACCTTTTATGAGCTTATGGAGAGTAAACTCAAGATACTGAAATACTATATTTTTATATACTGTACACAGAGACCCCTTGTTATGGGACTTTTGTGAAGGAAATATAGCAGAAAAGACCCTGCGCTGAAAATCAGCAGGATGAGAACTTGGCACCAGTTTTGCCACTATCTGCGTTATGTTCTGAAAATCACTGAACTTCTCTGGGTCTTGACAGCCCCACCCCTAATCTGACAGGACTGAACTGCATGATCTCCAAAATGCCACATCATAAAACATAATTTTAAATAATACAGATTTGTAGTTGCTATTATACACTCAGAGGGGTGAAGTAGAATAAATTAGGCTTTGGAGGAAGGTTAATGACAGTTCAAATCCAAGCTCCATCAGTACTAGCTGAGACCTTAAGTGTAAGTGTCCTTTACTATCAAAAAGTATAACGTGTTGGAAGAATTAGAAGGTATGTACTGTACCTGGCACGTTGTAGGAACTAAATAAAGGCAGACGTTACATCCTTTGTTAACATAACGTCCCTGGTCTGCAATACAAATTCCAATGGAAAACGATAATCCCCTTGACAAGGCAGTTACCTAGAGCTTGGCTTGGAGAAGATCAGGGACTGACTGCCAGTGCTTTCCAAATGGAAAACAGTGAAGATAATAACATTGGAGAGGATTCATGGTTGGGAGAGTAGGAGGATAAAAGCAGGGAGCTGAAGATAAGCAAACACTTTGAGTCGTGTACATGAAAACCAGGAAAGAAACTGCATGGGATACAATGATGTAGAAAATGAGACATTTTTTCATTAAAAGGACATCTGGAGAAAAAAAATACATAGTGAATTACTGCAATGATTTCATAACCAAAATAAAGCAGAAAGATGGTTAAGATTCTATGAGTGTCACTAAAAGAAAACAAGGAGGACTCTGAAATCACCTTCCTTTCACTGTCTGCAATCCTCACACAGGACACAGATGATCCAATTCCTGCCCACCTCTCCAGTATCACTTACCACTGTCCCCCCCACCTCACTCTCCCCTAGGTACACTCTGCTCCAGCCACATTGGCTTCCCTTCATCCCTGGAACACGCCAAGTTCATTCTTCTTTTAGCTTCCTTGCATGGTTACATCTGCCTAGAAACTTCCAGCAGATCTTCCCATGGCTCACTTACTTCTAAGCATTCAGGTTTCACCCGAACTGTCACCTCCTCAGGGGAGTCTTCCCTGACTACCACATCTAAATTTCCCCACACACCACAGTCACATTCAAGCTCCCTACCCTGTAATATCTTTTATAGAATTTATTACTAACTAAAATTATCGTTTTGGTTTACATGTTTATTTTATCTCCAGCAAAAATCTCCACCAAAATGTAAGGTCTTTGAGGGCAGGAACTTTATTTAAATCGTTTACTATTCAATTTCCTACACCTAAACAACACATGGCACTGGTATCAGATAAACTGTCCAATGTGAACATAAGTTAGGAAAAGTCCACAAAAAGCTTTCATTTCATTTCTTTAATGCAGTTTTATGCAATATAATAATGCGGTCTAAAGAGAATAAG